AAAAAAAAAAAAAGTATTGTTTTTGAAAACCTATTTCTTAGGCTTTCTTAAAAAAAACCTGGAATTGCAAAAAAATAAATATTGTTTTAAACAGAGACCAGAGAGTGACTGAGAAATTGTCAGGAAATATTTCCAGAATTTTTAGGAGTTCTTTGGAAAAGCTAAAAAACTAAATGTTACCTAATCAAATTTAAGCATTAACTAACATTGCTAAAAAATTATTCACCTTTTAAAATTTGACATCTTAATTCATTTTATTTTCCCATATGTGCTTTTTGGGATATTCCTGAGGCCATTAGAGCACAATTTTTTAAGTTCTAGAAGGGAAATGAAGAACCTTAAGAAACACAAAATTAATTGGAGCAAATAGGCAGCAATAATGGGATTGGGCACTGAGTTCAGACAAATGATGGGTTATAACACATAGAGGGAAAGCAGGAACCTCCCACTCCACATGACTGCTGTTCATGAGAATCACATTCTTTCTCTCTGTCTTTACTGACAGGTGTGGAGTTTGGAGCTCGTATGGTCAACATTGATGGAAAACAAATCAAACTGCAAATCTGGGATACGGTGAGAGTACAAAATAATTTAGTCTCTGACCAACATCCAAGTATAACAAGAAAAGCTGATGCAAAGGAAAGGGCTGTTAAGGATGGGACTAATGGTGGGGATGAAGAAGGGGAAAGATAAAATCAAAGAGAAGCTTTTGATTCTGTAACAGTTACAAATTCTGAATGCTGTATCCTTGTGTTGTAAACTATCCAAGTAATATATTAATTTATTCTAGTAAAAATAAAATCAAACAATATAAGTATATAGAATAGAAAGTAAATGTCCCCTTTTTATATGTAAACCCTTTCTCCCTCCCCATCTTGGTTGCTACTTTCGCAGGGGAATCATTACTGATGATTACATGTATATACTTTCAGACTTTTTCTATGCATTTAGATACATAAATATAAACACAATGAAATATATGGTAATTGTTTTTATTAGTGTTTACGTGTATAGAATTGTGACAGAGTAGACCTAGTTGTATGACTTAGAGTGTATATTAAACAATCTCTATGTTGTGGAGACCTTGCCATGTCAATACACATCGATCTACTTCATTCCTTTTAACCACTGCATAGTCATGGAATGTCAGTGGCATAATTTACTTAACCATCCTCCCATTGATGGAAATATGGGTTATTTTCCAATTTTTCATTATTGTAAAGTTTTTATTTTTACTTTTATTTTTTTGAGATGGAGTCTTGCTCTGCCCTCAGGTTGGAGTACAGTGGCACGATCTAGGCTCACGGCAACCTCCGCCTCCCGGGTTCAAACGATTCTCCTGCCTCAGCCTACCAAGTAGCTGGGATTACAGGCATGTACCATCACGCCCAGCTAATTTTTGTATCTTTAGTAGGAATGGGGTTTCACCATGTTGGCCAGGGTGGTCTCAATCTCTAGACCTTGTGATCCGAGTGCCTCGGCCTCCCAAAGTGCTGGGATTACAGGCATGAGCCACCGTGCCCAGCTGTAAAATTTCATTGAATGTCCTTTTTTTTTTAAGACAAAGTTTTCCTTTTGTCCCCCAGGCTGGAATACCATGGCATGATCTTGGCTCACTGCAACCTCTACCTCCTGGGTTCAAGTGATTCTCCAGCCTTAGTTTCCCAAGTAGCTGGGATTACAGGTGCCCACCACCACACCTGCCTAATTTCTTTTTTATTTTTATTAGAGACGGGGTTTTGACACGTTAGCCAGGCTAGTATCAAACTCCTGACCTCAGGTGATCCACCCACCTCGGCCTCTCAAAGTGCTGGGATTACAGGTGTAAGCCACTGAGCCTGGCCTGAACATTCTTATTTCCTAAAATCTTTATGCAAATGTTTGAGAATGTTTATGGAATATCTTCCCAGAAATGGAAATTCTGTCAAAAGCTTGTACATATTTTCAAATTTGATACATGTGGTAATGCCAAAATTTAGCTTGGCTTAGTGTAATTTTGCCCTATCCAGATAAATTGCTTTCATGTGTATTACATCACTTGATTTGTACCTTTTTCCCCCCTAAGTAAAATAATACCATAGTCTCCATTCTAGTTAAAGGGAGCTAGCAAATAGTTTGTAATATTCAACTAAAATCTCTTAATTTTTTTGCCTGCTTCTTACTATGTGATTCTGTTTCTTCTCTGAACTGAGAGTTAAAGCCATTATATCTACCATCACTGCAAAAATTATTTTTTCATTTTCTCTCTTTCCCCTCTTTCTTCTCTCCCCAACCCTCCTCACCACACCCAAGTATTTGTCTTAAAAGTAGTTGAAGGTTAAGTCTGTCTGTCTGTCCATCTGGCTAGCTAGCTATATCTATAGATACATTCCCCACTCTCCCCACCCCAGCTGGGGAATTTTTGTAGAGATGGGGGTTTCAGCATGTTTTCCAGGCTGGTCTTGAACTCCTGGACTCAAGCGATCCACCCTCCTTAGCCTCCCAGTGTTGGGATTACAGGAGTGAGCCTTGGCACCTGGCCAAAGTGGAATGTTTTGATGCCAGGAAAAAAACCAGTAAGTGCCATTTAGTAGTATGGTCATGGCAATGGGTTTTTTTCTTTCTTTCTCTTGCTCATATGAGACATGGATGGCAAATGAAAGTTAGAAAGTTGAGAGCTTGATTCTGCTGAGAGACAGCATGAAAAGAAAAACAATAAAAGAAAGTTGAGAGCCACTACTTTGGACAGAATCCTTAAGTACTACATGGTCATCCAACTGGCCTAGTTCTTTTCTCTTTCCTCTTAAAATTGTTTTGAGATTAATATTTGCTAAATCATAAAAAGGAACCAGTTTTAGAATACTGTGGTTTTCTATTTATTTTGAAAATTTTAAAAGATTTATACCTATAACATTATGTCCATCTAGTCTGCCACCTTTTGGGTAAGCTTGATCATGTCTCCCTTGTCAACCCTGATCTCCTGCCCGTTGTTTACCCATCTTAGCTTCCCACCTTATTGACCCATTCTCTCACTTAATTCCAAAACCATCCTATATGAAAATGTTTAGGGAGGATTACCATTACAGGTATTTTAAAGAGATCAGGTTGTCCAAAGGTTTTTGTTGTCTTTGTTCTGGCATTTATATGGATTTAGAGGAGGATATTTAAAAAAATATTTTATATGTGTGTGTGTGTGTGTGTGTGTACATATTCCTAAATAATGCTAAAGAAGTGGTAGATATTGTACTGTAATTAATATAAAATACTGATCAAATAATATCAAATTAATTTTACTTTGGAATGCATTAAAAAAATTTTTTTCCCCCTGAACAACCCTTCATTGGAAGGAATGCATTAGGAAAATAGTGTATCTGACTTTCTAGGAGTTGATATTTCAAACTGTATACCTTTTTTTTTTTTTTTTTTTTTTTGAGACGGAGTTTCACTGCTGTTGCCCAGACTGGAGTGCAATGGCACAATCTTGGCTCACCGCAACCTCCGCCTCCTGGGTTCAAGCAATTCTCCTGCCTCAGCCTCCCGAGTAGCTGGGATTACAGGCACGCACCATCATGCCCAGCTAATTTTTGTATTTTCAGTAGAGACGAGGTTTCACCTTGTTGACCAGGATGGTCTCGATCTCTTGACCTCGTGATCCACCCGCCTCGGCCTCCCAAAGTGCTAGGATTATAGGCGTGAGCCACCGCGCCCGGCCCAAACTGTATATCTTAAACAGTATAGTATGATGCTTCCACTTGGGAGAGATTAGAAAGCTATTAATTCTCTCATCAACCCTTTATCTTTGTTCTTTGCTGCTGCATTTTTTTTTTTTTTTTTTTAGATAGGGTCTCGCTCTCCACCCAAGCTGGAGTGCGGTGGCACGATCTCCACTCTCTGCACCCTCAACCTCCCCAGCTCAAGCCATCCTCCCACCTCAGCCCCCTCAAGTGACTGGGACTATAGGTGTGCACCAATCACACGTAGCTAATTTTTTGTATTTTTTGTAGAGACAAGGTTTCACGATGTTGCCTAGGCTGGTCTTGAACTCCTGGACTCAAGTGATCTGCCCACCTCGGCCTCCCAGAGTGCTGGGATTGTAGGCATGAGCCACAGTGCCCAGCCTGCTGCTTCAGATTATTTTACTGGGGATGGACAAGGATACCTGAGACTGATGCAGAGAAGCCCAAGTCGAACTGCTCACTCTTTCTAGCTTACTAGTTCACAAACTTTGGTTCATGAACTGGATTGAGATGAAGTAGAGTGATCTGATTTTAAAAGGTTTTCTCATGAACCACTGATAGCATTTTCAGCTGCTAAAGTTAAATGCTGCTTTGTGATTGAACCATCATGTGGGCCTCCCTCAAACTTTTCCTTTTAGTTCTTGGTAGGCTGTGAGGGAAGTAGAGGGAGGCTTTTAACCATAGCAGGAGAGGAGAAAAAGTAAGCGCTAAAAGGAAAACAAGGCCAAATGTAAGACATTAGGGAGTAATATAAAACTTTAAGTATTTTTAATCTTAAAATGTTATTGGTATTATGACAAAGGACTTTAGAATTATTTTTTGTTTTTGGATTCTGATCCTCTAACAGCTGTGCAACTCACTGAAATGTTTCTATGATTTTTGTAGAAAGAAATTCTTCTGTTGTTGAAAAAGTAACTTTATAGTTTGTATACTGAAATTCTCTTCTCACCTACAAACCTCAATTTAGGTTATGTGATATAGTGACTAAGAGGACAAGCTTTTGTCCTAGGAAGCACTAAGGATCCTAAGTTTAAATTATGGCTCTAGCACTTAATAAGCTTTATGATTTTGGAACACTTATTAAACTTGTGTGAGATTCATTATTCCCATTTTTAAAAGGGAATAATAGTTTGGGCATGGTGGTTCACCTGTAATTCCAGCACTTTGGGAGGCCAAGGCAGGTGGATCACAAGGTCCAGGAGTTTGAGACCAGCCTGGCCAACATAGTGAAACCCCATCTCTACTAAAAATTAGCCAGGCATGGTGGTGGGCACTTATAATCTCAGCTTCTTGGGAGGCTGAGGCAAGGAGAATTGCTTGAACCTGGGAGGCAGAGGTTGCAGTGAGCCAAGATTGCACCACTACACTCCAGCCTAGGCAATAGTGCTAGACCCCATCTCAAAAAAAAAAAATTAAAAAACAAAAAAAACAAAAAAGGGGAGGAATAATAATATCTGCCCTAGGGTTGCTAAGAGAAGTGAATGAAAAATCATCTCTTATATTTCTTAACACATTGTATATGCCAAAAAACAATTTATAGTACTATTGCAGTGTTATAATTAGTATTACCACTATTAGTGGTATTATACTATGAGAAAGCTGTTCATCTTCCCATGTCCTCAATCATCATTCTCCCACTTGTAAAATATAAATCAGAGTCTTACCTCCTTTTATGTAGGGATATAAGGATGAATTATTTCAAGAATGTGAAAACTTTCTTAATAGGATAGAGTCAATGTAAAGGGTATTCACATTATTTAAAAGATGTTTTTGTTTTCCCTAAAGGAAAATAAAAGAACTATTCCATCAAGAAAGCAAAGGTACCCAGTATTATGGGGTCACAAATAACTCAGTTTTAAATAGAACTTAATATCTTTGTCCAACTGGAAATGAGATTAGAGTATGAACGTTTGGATTTTGCTAGGAAAGCTCTGTTCTGGGCCCTGGGCTTCTTTCTCTGTTCCTTATTCCTGTTTCCTATGACAGGAGCCCAGAAAGAGACATTTAGGTAGTCTTGCATTATCAGTGGAACACTAAAGGTCAGTTAGAAGATACTCAGTTTAAGTGCTTTTAATCTAATTTTTACACTGATTCATTGGAATGAAACTTTTATTAGACCAAATATGATGTGTTCAACATCATATTTGGGATTGAAAAAATGACATACACTCAGTTCCCAGTCCTATTTCCAGTTGTTCTTTCATGAGGATACTGGAAAACATATGCAAATATCTTTATCATGCTGACTGTGGGGTGCCACGGGTATTTAGTGATGGAGATCCAGGGATGCTAAACATCCAGTAATCTGATGGACAGTCTCTCAGGAAGAGTAAGTGACTTGCCCAAAATATCAATGCATTCCCATAGAAAAATACTGATTTTCCACCTGGGCTTCTTCTTGGGCAGGCGTGTTTTCTTTCTCTAATTCTCTTAATAGAAGTTCCTTTTTTAGTTAAGTCCTTTGTATTAGGGTGGCATGTGATCAAGTCAGTTCTGCAGAAATAACCTAGTTTTGTTGGGATTTTTTGTTGCCATGTTGGTGGGAAAGGCTGGGCAAGAATCCTTCCGTTCTATCACCCGTTCCTACTACAGGGGAGCAGCTGGAGCACTGCTGGTGTACGACATTACAAGGTGAGCCAGACCTGGTGCATGGGAGGGAGATTCTTCCCTACATTCTCTAAAGTTTTTTCTTTCTCTATCTACTGATTCTGTCAAGGATGTTGACTAGGAATGGCCTCTCTAATATTTTTCTTTACACATATGGCTTCTCCTCTTTTCCTATATACTTGGAGTTGTTTTGGCCTTTTGAAATGTGTGTCTGACCCACATTCTAAATTTTTCTGCTGTAGGCGTGAAACCTTCAACCACCTGACCTCATGGTTAGAGGATGCCCGGCAGCACTCTAGTTCCAACATGGTTATCATGCTCATTGGGAATAAGAGGTAAAATTGTATCCATGTGAATGATAGTTAACAGGAATCATCTAGGTACTCTATGGATGTTGATATCCTGGGCCCAAACTTTCTTAGTTTATGGTGGTTGTAGTGTTTCATTAAAAAAATGTTGGCTGGGCACGGTGGCTCACACCTGTAATCCCAGCACTTTGGGAGACCAGCCTGACCAACATGGTGAAACCCTGCCTCTGCTAAAAATACAAAAATTAGCTGGACATGGTGGCAGGTGCCTGTAATCTCAGCTACTCAGGAGGCTGAGGCAGGAGAATTGCTTGAACCCAGGAGGAGGAGGTTGCAGTGAGCCGAGATCGTGCCACTGCATTCCAGCCTGGGCAACAGGGCAACACTCCATCTCA